AAGTGACATGGAGCAGCCAAAAAAAGAGAGAGAGAGAGAGAGAAACCACTTTCCATGTACTGGTATGAGAAAATTTCCAGTTCATTTCAGTTCAGTCACTCAGTCATGTCCGACTATTTACAACCCCATGAACCGCAGCATGCCAGGCCTCCCTGTCCATCACCAACTCCCAGAGTCCACCCAAACCCATGTCCATTGCCATCCAACCATCTCACCCTCCATCGTCCCCTTCTCCTCCTGCCCCCAATCCCTCCCAGCATCAGGGTCTTTTCCAGTGAGTCAGCTCTTCGAATGAGGTGGCCAAAGTATCGGAGTTTCAGCTTCAACATCAGTCCTTCCAATGAACATTCAGGACTGATCTCCTTTAGGATGGACTGGTTGGATCTCCTTGCAGTCCAAGGGACTCAAGAGTCTTCTTCAACACCACAGTTCAAAAGCATCAATTCTTCGGCACTCAGCTTTCTTTATAGTCCAACTCTCACATCGATACATGACCATTGGAAAAACCATAGCCTTGACTAGACGGACCTTTGTTGACAAAGTAATGTCTCTGCTTTTTATATATGCTATCATGGTTGGTCATAACTTTCCTTCCAAGGAGTAAGCGTCTTTTAATTTCATGGCTGCAATCGCCATCTGCAGTGATTTTGGAGCCCCCAAAAATAGAGTCAGTCACTGTTTCCACTGTTTCCCCATCTATTTGCTATGAAGTGATGGGACCAGATGCCATGGTCTTAGTTTTCTGAATGTTGAGCTTTATGCCAAATTTTTCACTCTCCTCTTTCACTTTCATCAAGAGGCTTTTTAGTTCTTCTTCACTTTCTGCTATAAGAAAGTATACCTGCTATAAGGGTGGTGTCATCTGCATATCTGAGGTTATTGATATTTCTCCCAGCAATCTTGATCTCAGCTTGTGCTTCATGCAGCCCAGCATTTCTCATGATGTACTCTGCATATAAGTTAAATAAGCAGGGTGACAATATACAGCCTCGGTGTACTCCTTTTCCTATTTGGAACCAGTCTGTTGTTCCATGTCCAGTTCTAACTGTTGCTTCCTGACCTGTATATAGCTTTCTCGAGAGGCAGGTCAGGTGGTCTGGTATTCCCATCTCTTTCAGAATTTCCCACAGTTTGTTGTGATCCACACAGTCAAAGGCTTTGGCATAGTCAGTAAAGCAGAAATAGATGGTTTTTTTGAAACTCTCTTGCTTTTTCGATGATCCAGTGGATGTTGGTAATTTGCTCTCTGGTTCCTCTGCCTTGTCTAAAACCAGCTTGAACATCTGGAAGTTGACGGTTCATGTGTTGCTGAAGCCACCAGAGTGTACTGTTAATCGTGTGTGTGGCGGGGAAAGCAAGGTGTGATGTGAAGGGGAGGGAGCAGAGAATGCCACTAAGTGAGTGTAGGGAGCATTGCAGGTGTCCTACATGCCCACATGATTGTACATCTGAGCCCTAGTCCACTTCTGGAAGGATCTACAAGAAACTGATGATGCTTTTGTGCTTTTGGAAAAGGGTCCAAGATGGGAAAGAGACACTGTATTGTCCCCATTTGGACTTCTAGAATCTTTTAAACTATGTGCACACACAACCTATTAAACACACACACACACATCTCTTACATAATAAACAAAACAGCCACAGTGTGACAGATTCCCCCTAGGATTATCTGTGTATCTTGGATTGGTGCCTGAGCTTGCCAGGCTCATTTGCCCCTTGGGGCTGATGAATACTTGTTTCCAAGACCAGATTTCCTCCACTGTTAATCACCAGAGTGTTTAAATACAAGGGGATCACATCTCTGTTCCTTCAGCTCCTTCTCTTTTCTGGCTGTGAAGCATTAAATGATATTGACATGAAAGTGTCCTTTAGTTGCTAGGGGAATGTTCAGGAAGGGCCTGCCAGGAGCAGAAGGCAGTGGACTAGGATGGGGAAAGAAGGGGTGGGTGGAGCTGCTGTCTGGAGTGATGTGAGAGTTAAAGACCTTTGAAATGTCTTCTTAGAAATTACTGTTTGTGTTTGCTCTCTTATCATGAGGATGGCTTGGAAGGGCTTCACTTTTCTGATGCCTCAGACCTGCCCAGGTGTCATGTTCCCTCACAGGATCATGTTTGAATGGTACCCAGGATTTGTTTTTAAGTCTGGTAAGACGTGCAGAGGGGCTTCCCTGGTGGCTCAGTTGGTAAGGAATCCTCCTGCAATGCAGGAGGCCCTGGTTTGATTCCTGGGTTGGTAAGTTAGCCTAGAGAATGGATAGTCTACCCACCTCAGTATTCTTGGGCTTCCCTGGTAGCTCAGATGGTAAAGAATCTGCCTGCAGTGCAGGAGACCTGGGTTTGATCCATGGGTTGGGAAGATCTCCTGGAGGAGGGCGTGGCAACCCACTCCAGTATTCTTGCCTGGAGAATCCCCATGGACAGAGGAACCTGGTGTGCTACAGTCCATGGCGTCACAAAGAGTTGGACATGACTGAGCAGCTAAGCACAGCGTAGCACAAGACATGCAGACACAGAAATGACTGTCTGTCATGAAGGAGTAAGTTTGTTAACTTCACAGATCCCAAGGGACTTCCCTGGTGATTCAGTGGCTAAGAGTCCACACTCTCAGGGTGGGGATCCTGGGTTCAATCCCCGGTCAGGCAACTAGATCCCACATGCCGCAACTAAGAGTCGACATGCTGCAACTGAAGATCCTGTGTGCCACAGTGAAGACCTAGTACAGTCAAATATATAATAAATAAATAAATATTTTTAAAAAGATACACAGATCCCTAGAGGCACAGTATACCATGCAGAGTCACACAGGGCAGATCAGGAAGCAGAGGAAGGAAGTGGGGGCAGGAGCCTGTATTGTGGTGTCCATGAGAGAGGCAGCCTTTCCATCAGCAAGGTCCCAAGATGGCAAAGCAGCAGAATACAGAAAATAAAAAGACCTGGTTAATACCCATTTGACCTGCCAAGAATGGTTGCACAGGTTGTTCATAGCACAAGATACCTGGCCAGTGGAGCTGAAATTCAGATGAAGCCCTGTTTGCAAGTCATATGCTCACAGGACTGCATCCAATCGAAGGGCTAGGCTTTTTCTCACATGTGCAGAAGTACCACATGGGTTAATAGAGACCCTTGATGGTGTTTGTCTCAGGATGTTATTCTATACTAATTGTCTTGATTTGAGCAATCTCTGTTGCCTTGACTGGACTGTCGGTCCCGAGGATGCCAGAACCTTGTCTGTGTTTCCTGGTAGACTGGAAGCTCCAAGAGAACAGGAGCTTCTTCATTCCCCCACCAAGTGTCCTCTTGGTGCCCAGCACCAACTGCCACATATGGGTGCTGGCAAAGTGTTCATGGAATACATCAGTGAGTAGTACCCAGGACTTTAAAGTTCAGAGTTATATTTTATCTGTACCTTGAACTCTTCTTTCTTTTGGCACCAAAATGATCAAAACCTTTTTGCCTGCTGTTGGTTTTTAAAATTTAGTTTTTTTTTTCTATTGAAGTATAGGTGGCGGTAGTGGTAAAGAACCCACCTGCCAAAGCAGGAGATATATGAGACAAGGGTTCGATCCCTGGGTTGGGAAGATCCCCTGGAGGAGGGCATGGGAACCCACTCCAGTATTCTTGCCTAGAAAACCCCATGGAAAGAGGAGCCTGGCAGGCTAGAGTCCATGGGGTGGCAAAGAATTGGACATGACTGAAATGATTTAGCACGCACGCATAGTTGATTTACAATGATGTGTTAGTGTTGGGTGTACAGCTGAGTCACTTTGTTGTGCACCTGAAACTATATGTATATGTTCAGTTCAGTCGCTCAGTTGTGTCTGACTCTTTGTGATCCCATGGACGGTAGCACTCCAGGCTTCCCTGTCCATCACCAACTCCTGGAGCCTACTCCAGCTCATGTCCGTCGAGTCAGTGATGCCATCCAATCATCTCATCCTCTGTCGTCCCCTTCTCCTCCTGCCTTCAGTCTTTCCCAGCATCAGGGTCTTTCCAAATGAGTCAGTTCTTCACATCAGGTGGCCAAAATATTTCAACATCAGTTTCAACATCAGTCCTTCCAATGAATATTCAGGACTGATTTCCTTTACGATGGACTGGTTTGGTGTCCTTGCTGTCCAAGGGATTCTCAGGGAGTATATATATACATACATGTATATATATAAGTATATGTATATAAAGCAGTTATATATATTGTACTTGTTCAGTTGCTTAGTCGTGTCCAACTCTTTGTGACCCCATGGACTGCAGCATGCCAGGCTTTTTTGTATTTTACTATTTATATTCTATTCCCTGCCCCCTTCCTCCAAGTCTGCTGTTGGTTTGATCAGGGTAAGTAGCATCCTCTTTGCTGCAAGAGCTGGGCTCCTATCCGGCCTGTTTGGGGACTAAGAAGACAGCCAAGGAACAGAGGCTTTATTCAAAGTGGAGATTCTTTGTCAGCTCTGCCCTGCTGTGAATCCTCCAGGCGTTTGCCCCTTCTCGGCCTCCAGGAAAGAGTGAATGACTGGGAACTCAGGCAAGAGTGGCTGTGGCACCTGGGCCTGCAGGAGCTCCGGCTCCAGCCGAAGTGAACAGAACCTGGCAGAAAGTGCCAGTTGTTGTCAGGCACAGTCATAGAGTGACTGCTGAGAGACCCTGGGTCCCTAGCTTGTTTGACAACAAAAGAAAACGTGAACGGGCTTTGCGAACTCCCTGCTGGTCCCATAGATAGGATGCTGTGCTTTCACTGCTAGGTGCCTGGGTTCAATTCCTGGTCAGGGAACTAAGGTCCTACAAGCCTCATATTGAGGTCACACATACACAGAAAAGGAACTGGTTTTCAAAAGAGGCCCTGGACTTGTACCTTGGGCGTGCGTGTGTGCACACACGCTCATGGGAATCCGAGGACCAGGCTGTGTGCAGGCAGGAGAGCTATCTGTGCTCCCAGGTTCTGTCTTTTGTAGACTCAGGGCAGAGTGCTGAAAACCTAATGGAATGTGTATTTTTCTCATCTCTCTCCAGGTTTCCATTCTATTATGAACTAAAAATAGCATTTGTAGCCTGGCTGCTGTCTCCCTACACAAAAGGCTCCAGCCTCCTCTACAGGAAGTTTGTACATCCCACGCTGTCTTCAAAAGAAAAGGTAAATTGTGTTGTTTTGCCTTTCACTCCTTCCAGCGAGTGAAAAAAAAAATTTTAAGTGATTTTTTTTTTTAAAAAGACATGTGATTTTATTGAAGGAGACTCTTGATTGACTTATTTGCCCCCTACCCGAAAATTGTTCCTTCTAATCTTTCTCTTTTAAGTCTATTTTTATGACCTGGTGCAATTCTCAAAAGCATATTATTCATCACTATTATTGTAAAACATTTCCATGCATTGAAACAAAAGACAGAAAAAAATTCACTCATAATTCAACTCCCCAAACTGAATTTCTTTCCTTTCATCAGGCTCAGCGCCTGTCCTTTTGCAGATGGAATTTTTATATATACTACTAAAAAATACTTTAAAAACTTAGTACAGGGCTTCCCTGCTGGCTCAGTAGTAAAGAATCTGCCTGCCAGTGCAGGAGACACAGGTTTGACCCCTGGTCTGGGAGGATCCTACGTACTGAGGAGCAGCTAAGCCCATGCACCTTAACTACTGAACTTGTGCTCTTGAGCCCAGGAGCCACACTACTGAGCTCACGTGCCGCAGTTATCAAAGCCTGCTTGCCCTAGAGCTCGTGCTCTATAGCAAGAGACACCACTGCAGTGAGAAGCCCACATACCACAGCTACGGAGTAGCCCCCCGCTGTCTGCAACTAGAGAAAAGCCTGAGCAGCAACCAAGACTCGGCACAGGCAAAAAAATAAAAATAACAAATTTTAAAGATAAAAATAATAAATTTTTAAAAACCTAACATAAACAGGAAAGTTGAAGCCTAGAGAGATGAAAAGACTTGAATTTGTGCCTGGATAGCTGCAACAGAGACTGGAATATAATAAATTTCTAGTACATTTGCTTTATTGATCAATGATAAAATGTATGCTACACATGAAATACCTGCTTTTTTTATACTTTATAAGTTATCAGTTGATAAGTGTGGTAGTGGGAATAGACATAATAATTTGTTTCATGCTATTTACCTTTTGTGTTTTGCTTCAAAGTTTTGCTTCACATACATCCTTAGAATGAAAATGTAGATTTGTCTAATGTCAGACATGGAAAAAATAAGATAGGGAGAAATTGCAGGAAGGAGTCAACAGTAACTAAGGATTCAAGGAGGAATTACAACATATATCTCTTGAAAAGAAATTTAAGCTACTTTTAAGATAATGTCACTGTCCATAAAATTACTTTTTGTTTAACATCTCCACTGAACCTAATTTGCCAGATTTGTTTTCAATGGATTGTTCCATGGTTTTGTTGAGATTTCATACAATAAGAGACACACGCACGCTAAGTTGCTAAGTCATGTCCTACTGTAGCCTGCCATGCTCCTCTGTCCATGGGATTTCCCAGGCAAGGATATTGGAGTGGGTTGCCATTTCCTCCTCCAGAGGATCTTTCCAATCCAGGGATCAAACCCACATCTCCTGTGTCTCCTGCATTGGCAGGTGGATTCTTTACCACTGAGACACTAGGGGAAATAATAGACGCAGAGATCATTAAAATAAATGACCTCTGTCTTATTAATTTGTTTGGTAGCTCCTTTTTTCATTCAATCTACTCTATGTAATGTTTCCTTAAAATAAAATGTTAAGCATACACACACACACACACCAAAAAACCAAATCAAAACCAAAAAGCAATAACTACAAAAAACTGAACAGATGCATTACTTGTCTTCTGAAATCTTAAACATGTTTGTATACCATCTTTTCTACTTGTTCTTCATAAGGACCCACAAACATCACCACACATAGTATACAGTCAACTTCTATTGACTACTTGTCTTAGAATAAATTCTTGAGAGTGGGATTATTGGGTCCAGCATTCTATATTTTGTTAATGATATTATATGACTTTCCGAACTGGTTGTGTGGTGAGATTCTACCATATGAATTAAGAACGCTATCAGTTCAGTTCATTTGCTCAGTCGTGTCCAGCTCTTTGCAACCCCATGGACTGCAGCACACCAGGCTTCCCTGTCCATCACCAACTCCCAGAGTTTACTCAAACTAATGTCCATTGAGTCAGTGATGCCATCCAACCATCTCATCCTCCGTCGTCCCCGTCTTCTCTCGCCTTCAATCTTTCCCAGCATCAGAGACTTTTCAAATGAGTCAGCTCTTCGCATCAGGTGACCAAAGTATTGGAGTTTCAGCTTCAACATCAGTCCTTCCAATGAACATTCAGGACTGACCTCCTTTAGGATGGACTGGTTGGATCTCTTTACAGTCCAAGGGACTCTCAAGAGCCTTCTTCAATGCTACAGTTCAAAAGCATCAATTCTTCGGTGCTCAGCTTTCTTTATAGTCCAAGTCTCACATCCATACATGACTACTGGAAAAACCATAGCCTTGACTAGATGGAACATTATTGGCAAAGTAATGTCTCTGCTTTTTAATATGCTGTCTAGGTTGGTCATAACTTTTCTTCCAAGGAGCAAGCATCTTTTTATTTCATGGCTGCAGTCACCATCTGCAGCAATTTTGGAACCCAAAAAATTAAAGTCTGCCACTATTTCCACTGTTTCTCCATCTATTTGCCATGAATTGATGTGACCAGATGCCATGATCTTTGTTTTCTGAATGTTGAGCTTTAAGCCAACTTTTTCACTATAGGTGGCTTGATATATTTGTTTCTGTTGCTTCTGAAAGTTGGACACTTTGGATTTCCAGGGCAAGGCTTTGAGTATATCAGTTGGAGGTACAGGTTACTGTAGCCATTTCTGAGATGCCCTTTAGAAACTAGGACACAACACTTACTGTCTCAGAGGCTAAAATTTGAGAAACAATAATCCCTGCCTCCACCTCATTATCAAATCTCTACTCTTCCTACTTCCCTTTCTCTTAACACTGGACTTAACCCTGAAGCCACTAATATCATTTCCATTGACGCGAAGGTGACTGACTCTTAAGAGCTGCCACGAATCACGTCCAGAGTCAGCCAGGGGTCACAATGGAAACTGAGTGCTGTGACTTCCTGAGGAATTTTAAACAAGGACCGGGCAGGGTGTCGAATGCCCACCTGTATGCCTCAAAGTGAAGGAAGTGCACCAATGTGCTGAACTTCAGATGAGACAGAGGCCAAGTGTCATTGACTGAACTCTGCTCCTATGATTACAGAATGGCTGTTTTCTTAAAACTATGACAACAGCAACCCAAACACAACAAAAAGAATGAGCTAGCACTGATCCAAATTTGAACTAAACCAATCTTTGACTTGCTTTTGGTCCCTAAGTAGACCTCAATCCTCTCTCCCACCTCACCTTTACCTTGAAGTTGACTTCTGATTTCTGTTTTTATTTAATTATCTGTAAAATGATCTCCTCTATCAACAAAAATATCCCCTGTCTGTTTCTGCATTCTGATCTCTCCCATCAACATACACACGAGGAGGCATTTGAATATTGTATGAAATTGCTATGAAATAATAGAATTTCAGAGATCCTGGGGCTTTACCTACTTGAGATAAGGAAGATGACAATGGTTCTTGGTTATTGAAACCAACCACTGTTCAGGTGCTTTCCTGGAATGAGCGCATGTAGTCCTTACCGTGGGGTTTCCGGGGTGGCTCAGCAGTAAAGAATATGCCTGCCAATGCAGGAGATACAGGTTCGATCCCTGGGTTGGGACAATCTCCTGGAGAAAGAAATGGCAACCCACTCCAGTATTCTTGCCTGGGAAATCCTATGGACAGAGGAGCCTGGTGGGCTACAGTCCTTGGGGTCACAAGAGTCAGAGAGGACTTAGTAACTAAACAACAGCAATGATTCTCATCATGCTCCACAGGTTAGGTGCCACCACTGTCCTCATTTCTCAGAAGACAGAACCATGTGTAGAGGCTAAGCACTCACCCAGCTCTGACAGCCGATTAGTGGCAGCGCCAGTGAGAATCAGTGATGGAGCAAGCTGCCAAGCTCAGCACTCAGGAGAGGGGAGAAAGAACAGAGGTTTATCTGGGCCTTCCAACTCAGAGTGTCTGTTTTCCCTTGACAGGAAATCGATGATTGCCTGGTCCAAGCGAAAGACCGAAGTTACGATGCCCTTGTGCACTTTGGGAAGCGAGGCTTGAACGTGGCGGCCACGGCAGCGGTGATGGCTGCTTCCAAGGTACCGTGCCAGGACCTGACCACCATGGCTGTAACTCATCCCCACAGGCTAAGTATAGCTGGGGTACCCTTGAAAACCGGAGGGGATAAAGGGTGAATATTACCCTCAGAAAACTGCATGCTCGTGCACACACACACATGCAAATGATCTATGCAATACCGAGAGGTTCCCAGAGCCCCTGAAGCTCACCTGTGGTTCTCATGTTAAGAACTTCTAAGTTACTTGAAGCATAAACCTTGGACACAGAGAAGAGGGGAGGGGAGGCGATGGGGCACTTCTTTGCAATTTCCCAGCATGCACTGGGAGAGTCACCTAAATAGACAGGTGCAGAGACTTACCTGAGTGAGCAGGTGCACTCCAGGCTCACATGACCCTGAAGATCCAGGGGAAGGAACCCAGGGTCCTAGAATAAGTTGAGTGGTTTAAATGTGGAGGACAATATGTGTAGTAGCAGTAACTAGCGTAGAAGAGTGTTTAAAAAAAATTTTTTTTTGGACAGTGTTGTGTTGGTTTCTGCCATACAACAACTTGAATCAGCCATGATTATACATATATTCCCTTCCTCTAGAGCCTGCCTCCCCTCTCCCCACCCCACCCTTATAGGTCATCGTGCACCAGACTGGGCTCCCTATGTTATACAGTGACTTCTCACCAGCTATCCATTTTACACATGATAGTGTGTGTGTGTGTATGTATATATATATATATATATATATATATATTGATGCTACCTTCTCTAGTCATCCTACTCTTTTCCTACCCCTCTGTGTCCACAAGTTCATTCTCTGCATCTTCATCTCCATTTCTTCCTTGAAAATCAGTTTATCAATACCATTTTTCTAGATTTCATATATATTCATTATGACCCAGCAAACCCACTACTGGGCATATACCCTGAAAAAACCACAATTCTAAAAGATACATGTACTCCAGTGTTCATCGTAGTACTGTTTACAATAGCCAGGACATGGAAGCAACCTAGATGTCCATCAACAGATGAACAGATAAAGAAGATGTGGTGGATATATACAGCGGAATCTTACTCAGCCATAAAAAATGAATTTGAGTCAGTTCTAGTGAGGTGGGTGAACCTAGATCCTGTTATACAGAGTGAAGTAAGTCAGAAAGAGAAAAACATATCATACAGTAGAGGAGGTTTGAAATAAACACAAATCTGTGGGATATTGTGATGTAAGTCATTGCTTCCTTCTCTTTTCCACCCAGCCCTGTTCAAAGGCCCTCTGTGTTCCTTCCCAGCTTCTTCTTCCATCACATTCTCCTTGTCGTTGTGTCAGTATGTGCTCAACCCTGAAAAATCTAATTAGTAGACGTTTACTTGTAGAGCAAATTCAGCAGATTGCCCATGTAAAAATCGCTTCCCCCAAACTGGGATGTAGAATAGGGGTCTACAGTTGGTGGAGGATGGAGAGAAAATAGTTATGCTTATGTCTGGGGAGACCCAGTGGTTGGGAGGTGAGTTGTATTTGCAAAGGGAAGCTATGAGTCCTAGATGGTGATGTGAGAGTTTCGGGGAAAGAGAGGGTAGAGTTTTGAAAGGATTTGGAAAAGGACTTTGAATACTGATCTTGGTGCTCCATGGGCTTCCAGTGGATGGTGGAATGGAGTGTGTGGACAGTGAGTTGGGTCAAGGGACTGAGCTGGGTTTTCTAGGCCCAGGGAGAAGCACTTTAGGAGCATTTCTGGGAGAAAGATATAGCACACAGGGCTGAGTGTTTGAAAAGTACCATCCACATAAAGTCAGGGAGTTCTGCAGACATAGGTTGGCAGGGAGATAGGAGAACCAAAAGGGAATGATTCCTGTTTCAGAAAAGGACCACTGCTTATGTAACGCAGAATTGTAGTGAAGTGTCTCTCTGCTTCTACAGCTGGTACCTGGAGGGTCCCTGTCTACCTTAGTACAATAGTTGCTGGCAAAGCAGCGAATCCCAGGGAGTATCTTTGGAGGGGAAATTCTGCTGTTTTATTTTCAGATGTATCAGAATTTACAAAGAGAGGTGAATTCCAAGATCATTCTATTTGAGATACAATTGTTTTATGCTTTTGTGTTTAAGCTGAAAGAAAAGAGAACTCGGAATTGCTAAATTCTGAATTCATCAGGCCAGCTTGGCCACATGAAGCTTATAGAAGCCTTCTTCCAGGCCACTTCCTCCACCCTATCTTCTCTGCTTCTTCACCTAAAGGACAAATTACTGCTCTTTCCTCAGCTCAGACATAGAGCATCAGTGTGGTATATTTATCAGAGTGGCTCAGTGCAGGCCGCCTGGCCACTCAGCAGTGTGTGTAAATTTTATTCTGATGGTAATTCTGTAGGGCCATCCTTTTCCAGGTCCCTGTCCAGCCGGAATCTCCTGAGTCTTGATACCATCTTGGCCGGTCACCATCAGCCCCTCCGACCACCGGGGAAGCCCGTGAGCCCAAGCCTCCAGTCGGGTATCTTACAGCTAACCTGAAGGATGCTCCAGACAGTCTGAAACTTGCTTCAGAAAATAACCGCTCTCTGGTTCTTTCTTGTCTTGCTAAAGTAGTGAGGGATGCCTGCTTTATGCTGAATTTGGTTTCAGGCTAGAAATTTTTCTGCCTTTTAGGAGCTTTGCTTTTCCTCTCTAAATGTCTTAACAGAGAAAATACTCTTCTCTCCCTGAAATAATGTCCTCTATTTTTGAAACAGATGTGTACTTAAAAAAAGAAAAAAAAAAGGAAAATTCAATCTGGCTGAGGGGTAGATCAGTGGTTTCCATAGCAACAAGGGACCACTCCAGCCAGCGGTTGAAGAATGATGACTCACCAGTGGGTTCAAATCTGGCTTCAGTGTTCAAACCACCTGGGAAGCTTTGTTTCTCGTTTTTAAATAGATTCTCAGATGAGCTGAATCAATTTCAGGCCATGGGCCTTTGCATCTCTATTTTTAACAAGGTCCCCAGATGATTTTCATTTTCAAACAGAGAGCTCATTACAGGTCACTGCCTGACGCCCCATGCAGAGCCATAAACCACAGGTGAATAGGGTTAAAACAGTTAACTTCTTTAACATTCCTGGGATGCAGATTTAGCCCTTTAGAAGCATTAACCTTAAGAATGAGAAAGCTGAGTCCAGAACAACCTTGTCAATGACCCCAGGGCAACAGTCAAAGCAATTCTGGGGGGGGGGGGTGCGGCGGGGAGACACCATGTCAAGTCCCAGAGGCTAGTGTTGACCATATAATATAATATGCAGACAGGACACATCTGAGAGTGAAAGGGTGCTCTAATTATTATGCTAGGACAACAGGCATAAACTAGGTCTGTTCCAAGCAAACTGGAATTTATGGTTGCAGTGCTCTTGGCCCCATTTTACATCTCCTGGACCCTGCCTGTCTCCTTCTAGAAAACACCTTCAACTGACAAATCAATTCTCACTCTAAATACCTACTGCATTTAGCTCAACAGATGCAGAAGACGGGGTGAGGTGCCTGAGAGCCTCCCTCTGAGTTCAGACAGATTGAAGAGGGCCTGGGCCCAGGTGAGGAGGGCGCTTCTTCCTCATCTGATCTTTTTTCCATCCTTTGATGCTTCTCCAAGAGGAACTGCAGAGCTTAACTGGAGGAATGAAAAGTCTTTTACCTACACTTTTAGTTCATTCTTTCTCCTTGTAACTTTGAGCCCTGAGCCGTTTCTCCAAAAAAAAAAAGTTTGCAGGGTTTTTGCAAATAATCATGAAGTGTGAAGGTTTGTAAACCATTTGTTCAGTTGCTTAGTCATGTCCAACTCTTTGAGACCCCATGGACTGCAGCACACCTGGCTTCCCTGTCCAGTTTTCAGGAATTTGCTCAAGCTCATTGAGTCAGTGATGCCATCCAGCCATCTCATCCTCTGTTGCCTGCTTCTCCTCTTGCCTTCAGTATTTTCCAGCATCAGGGTCTTTTTCCAATGAGTCATCTCTTCATTTCAGGTGGCCAAAGTATTGGAGCTTCAGCATTCGTCCTTCCAATGAATATTCAGGGTTGATTTCTTTTAGGATTGACCGGTTTGATCTCCTTGCAGTCCAAGGGACTCTCAAGAGTCTTCTCCAGCACCACAGTTTGAAAGCACCAATTCTTTGGCCCTCACCCTTCATCATGGTCCAACTCTCACCTCCGTACATGACTACTGGAAGAACCATAGCTTTGACTATATGGACCTTTATCAGAAAGGTGGTGTCTTTGCTTTTTAATATGGTGTCTAGGTTTGTCATAGCTTTTCTTCCAAGAAGAAAGCGTCTTTTAATTTCATGGCTATAGTCACTGTCAGCAGTGATTTTGGAGCCCAAGAAAATAGAGCCTGTCACTGTATGAATTTAAGTTGCTATTGATGTTTTATCTTAGAACTAGAAAATCTAAAATAAAAATATTGCACATTGGAAATGTCTCTCCAGACCTATTAACGCCAACACATCCCCCAGTTTTCCCCAAGGTCTAGCCCTTGTTCCTGGGAAGTAGCAGTGCATCTTTGCTTTCAATGACAGCTGCTCTGTCTCCTTCCTGGGAACACACTTTGCTAGTACCTTCTTTCTAAGTGTCCCTAGTCTCCTGGTTGGTTCTGAACTTAGATGTTAGCTATTAATATTTCCCAGTCAGTAATTCCACCTGGAGGGAAAATTGAGCCCCACATCTTTTTAAGACTAGAATTGGAAAGCTCTCTTTTTAAAAATAATTCTCTAGAAATTCATTGGGTTTCCCTGGTATGCTGAGACAGCAAAGAATCTGCCTGCAATGTGAAAGACCTGGGTTTGATCCCTGGGTCTGGAAGATCCCCTGGAAAAGGGAATGGAGAAATTAATTAGTTAAGCAAAATACATTCTCACATGAGAGGAAACCATAGTGAGAAAAAAACAATTGAGTAAGAGTTTTTGTGACTTTCTCTGGCTCTGCCCATGTGTCTATCCACACGAACTGTACTCTTTTCCTCCTAATAAACACTTTTCACTAAAAAAAAAAAAAAAAAAAGAAAGAAAGAAATTTAAGA